AAGAATTAGCACGGTAAGACCAGGGAAAAGATGGGAATCTATCCTGATGACCATGCATTTTGGATAATTTTCTTTCCAGCAGTATCTGCAAGCTCTGATACAGGCAGCTGCGTGCAGGTTGAGAGGTGCTGGGAGACCCGCAGGCTTGGCAGGCTTTTCAACAGACTGGGTGGGCAGGGCACACCAAGAAGGGGGTGCCTGGTAAGGACCCAGGCTTTGGTTTGGGGCATCAAAGGACTACACCCTATGGGTGAACCAGAAAACAGGTTACTCCTCAGAAAGGCTGAACCCCACCACGGAGTCATCTTAATCTCATTGCACAGATATGATTCAAGACCCTGAGTGCCTTTATTTGCCTGCTGGAAGCAAATTTAATCTTCTCTGGAGAAAGCTCACATCAACTTAGTCTCAAATTAACGCTACAGCACTTCAAAAATAACTACTGAGGTATTCTGAGAAGAGGAGGTAAGATGCTGAGAAAAGGAGACGGGATTGAGAGGAGGAGACAAGACATTATCACTGAGACTGCAGAAACAGGTCTACCAAGCACCTAGACCCAGGATCAGCAAACTTGTTCTGTACAAGGCCAGAGAGTAAATATGTTGTGCTCTGTGGTCCACATACAGTCCCTGTTAAATATGTTTTTTTGGTTTTTCTTTTTTTTAAACTCTTTAGAAATACAGAGACCATCATTTGCATGCAGACCACTCAAAAACGCCTGGCACCATCAGATATGAAAGTAAATGGTACTTGACATGTTCAAGGAATTCTACATATCATTGACAATTCCGAGGCAGCGCTAAAAAAGAAAAAAGAAATCTAAATGTTACAACTAAATATTACAATAATATTAAGAAATTAACTGATGAGTTTAAAAGCAGAATCAATACAAAAGAAGTGCTCAACTAGAAGACAGGCCAGAAGAAAGTACAAAATGATAAAAAGGTGAAAATATCTGAAAGAAAACAGATATTGAGTATATAGTGTGGAGATCAATTATTTTATATTTTACATTCCATAAAGACAGGATGCAATTAGGTAGAAACTATATTTAAAGGGATATAGCTAAAAACCTCAGAAAATTAATAGGCAAAATCAAGCACTGATTTATAAAGCACTAGAAACTCAAGGAGGAATAAGGTGGAAAGAAAGAAACATAACCACACAGGTATTCTCATTGTAAAATCTGCACAAAGCCAAAGGCAAAGAGAAAACACTTAAAAACAACTAGAGACTAAAAGACTTTGAGATTTAATGTACAGCTAGAAATCAAGACAGCATGGAACTGAAGAAAAAATAGTTGAAGGGATCTGTGGTATAAAACAGAGAGCCTGGAAATAAACCCACACAAATTCAGGCAGCTGAGCTCTGACCAAGGAGCGAAGGCAACTCAGTGAAGAAGGACGGTCCCCAACAAGTAGTGCTGGAACCTCTGGACATAAACATTCAAGAAAAAATAAGACTCTAGACACAGACCTTACACCTTAGACCTAAAGGCAAAACTTCACAATGATAACGAAGAGATAGGTGACCTATGGTTTGATGGCAACTATGTAAATACAACACTAAAGACAGAGACCAGGAGAAAAATCTTTAGACAACACATATCTGATAAAGAAGTGGTGCCCAAAATACACAAAGAACTCTTAAAATTAAATAGTAGAAAATAACCCAATAAAAATGGATGAAAGATTCCAAACACCTCACCAAAGAAGATGATAAACAAGCATATAGAAAGATGTTCAATAGTGTATGTCACTAGGGAATTGCAAATTAAAACAGCGAAGAGATACCACTGCTCACCACAGTATGGATAAATAAAAAACTGATAAAATTGTCAGTTTCACAAAATCTAGCAGTCGCATCCTGGATATTTATCCAATTGAGATGAAAATCTATGTCCACCCAAAAACCTGTACACAAATGTTTGTGGTAGCTTTATTCATAATCACCAAAGACTGGAATCAATCATAATGTCCTTCAATAGGTGAGCAGATAACGTGGAACAATCATACAGTTAAAATATCATTCAGCAATTAAACAGAAATGAGCTCTGACATCATGAAAATACATGGAGGAATCTTAAATGCATATTGCTAAGTGACATAAGCTAGTCTGAATATCCTACACACTGTGTGATTCCAACTATATGACATTTTATAAAAAAGGCGAAGTCGTAGAAACAGTAAAAGGTCAGTGGTTGCTGGAGGTTATGGCAAGGGTTAGAAGTGAAGCCCAGGGTTTTCTTTAGGGAGCTTTCTATGGTAATCTAATGTGTTTGTCAAAACCATACAATATGGAGAGTGAATCTTAATACAAACTGTGAACCTTAATAATAAGGTATCAATATTCTAGGTATCCATTATTGTCTTTCACAGTTTTTTCTCTTTGAAGTGTCACCAATCCTTGGCTCCTTAACCCACATTTCTCACACAGTATGGTGAGGATACATTAATTAATTTTAACCTTCATCTATGCAAATCTAACCAAGAATAAAATCTTAGAATATTCCCAGAAAAATAACTTTGAATTATCCCATTACCATGAAAAGACAAACACACAAACAAATTTCACATATAAAAAAGCCTCATACATATATTGGAATGGATAGAAAATCACTAAGGCAATATTAAACTTATCCAAAGAACTTACCTAGAAGGGGTGATCGAACTATATGTGTGTTTAAATTTTTTAAAAACTTTATTACTGTAAAAGACACATTGCCATTAACCACACCCTAAAATCTTCCCCCTCCCACATTTCCCATCATTCTTGTCACTTTCTGAAACAGTTCTGGGAGTCCTCTTTCCTGAGTTTCTTTATGAGATGTGATCAAAAATTGGATAATTTGCTGCTGCTGTGCAGCATTCAAAGAAAAGAGGCTCATAAAAACATTACCGTGTGTCTTTTTTCTTACTATTATTTCTACTTTTAGTGGTTCTGGAGATTGAACCCAGAGCCTCATCTACCTTAGTCACTGGATCTGGCACTGTGCAATTTAAAATGACCATGAAAGGTAAACATTTTGAATCAATTCAGAATATGCAGGCAGCCAGGACAGCACAACAAAGATACTCATGAAAGTGGACTTCAGAACGGCTTCAGAAAGTGGCAAGAATGATTGGACAAATACATTCAAAGTCAGGGGGAATTTTTTGAGGGGTGATTATTGACAATAATACTTTTTTTCAATCACACCTCATAGTTTCATCATTTTGACAAACACTGGATTAATACATTTGCTCACAATGAAATAATGCTCATTAAAAATATATTCTCCTATGTTGGGATGTGCAAATAATGACAACCACAGAATCATTTCTGTATTGCAACCTGAAAGGGGCCAACTAAATGGCAGTAAAGCAATGAAAATACCTCAAACATTTTTTAAACATACAATATGTTAATTAAGTTGAGGTTATAATCTCACTCTTTGTGATAATTGGCAGCATGAGGCCTCTTGGCAGAATTTCTCACCTCCAACACAGAATATTATTACTATCATTATCAGTGTTAGGATTTGTTAGCCTTTGTTAGCCTTAAAATCTCAGTGCCAAGAAATTTCAGCAACATTGTCCTTTTGCCCTCTGCTTCCCAACTTTGATGCAGTACATTGCCATTCGTTACTTAATTGTTTTGGGAAGCCCGATATAGATTCAATTCATGTAAGCAATACTGTGAGGACAACTCTGAGACATGGTGCCAGGTAAAATTCTATTCTCCAGACAAAATAGCCAGCGTTTAGCTGGACCTGTATAGAAACCCCAACCATGAAGAGCAGGATTAGCCTTATTAGCAGTTGGTGTAGCTGGGCACCCAGAAAAAAAAATCTACAGGGAAACTGATATACAGATGTTATCTTGCCTTCCAGCAGGAAAATTTGTGAATAAAAATAACAGAAAAATTTCTTTATATATTGATCATTAATATTCATCAGTGACCAATACACTAAAGAATAAAGAATTATATTTTTAAATCATACATTTATGTAATTTTTATAATCATTTAATATTTTGTAAATCTTTTAGAGCATCAATGTAATTATATTTTAAAACTTCTATAGAAATAACCAGTACATACTGCACCCAACTTAAACTAGTTTAAAATCATCCTACCTGTGTAAAAAGTATAAACTGAGCAAATTCCCAGGGAAGCATAAAAGCAACATTGGCAAGACAGAGGGCAATGTAATGTTTTCCATAATTGTTGGAGGACCTTAGGAAAGAGAAGTGGGATCAGTAAGTTTTACCATGAAGACAGTCATTCCAAAAACAAACAAACAAACAAAAAAGACTACTTGCAAAATGACAAAACCTAAATGATTCTCTTACCTTTGATATAATACAACAAAACATAGTTAACTTTAAAAATCAGTTTAATAAAAAGAAAACTGTAACACTTCAGAAATAGTAATACATAATTTATCATTAAATAAAACACTTTAAATATAAACATTTATTTCCCTATAAATATGCAGGGCTTTCAAAATTAAATACTCCAGCACAATGCCAGAAAATAGGGCAGGACAGTGGCCCTGCATGCCTCCAGATGTTTATTCCCTAGAGTTTTTGTATATCACCACTTTCATTTTGCAGAAAACCTTGAAAACAATTTTAAGTGCTGGTGAAGAAATAAGCTAACAACTATGGAAAAATTTAAAGAAAAAAATTTTAAGACAACAAATTAAAAACTAATTCTGTAATAGAGCTGAATCACCACAATTGAAATATAAATTACCCATTCTGCAATAATAAAACATACTGGTAACCAATACCTCTTACCACAGAAGAGCTCAGGATGTTTTGAATATGAAAAAAGAAATCCAAGGGGTTTTTTTAATCATAAAATAGCAACTGCTCCTTTTATAAAGGTTGTACTGGGTTTTTGATAAATCTTTGCACAACAGTAGATAAATTTTCAACAGCAAAAATTTAAATATTCATATTATTTAGTAATATTATCACAAAATATTCATTCAACTCTTGGTAATCTTATATTTGATCAAATGAAAATTACTTTTGACTCAGGTAAAGAGTATATAGCATGTGCCCTCAAGGATCAATCCTAATGTTCTAAGTAAAACACTGCATTCTATGAAACCCCTGCCTGTCCACATTGATATCACCTCGGTCAATCAATCAATCAATCAATCAACAATCAATCAAAATGCCATCTTCCTAGTAATCAAACTGGGAATGAAGGGAGAGGGGTGGGAATGAGCATCTTTCTTCACCACACTGACTCAGAGGAGGCAGTGTACTGAACAAACATAGAAATCTGGACAGGGAGCAGATGCCCAAAACTAAATGCAGCCCCCAAATAAGCTCGCCAGGCAGGTAACACATCACGAGTTAGCCTGCTCCTCTCTAAGGCTTGTGGCCTCCCCGGGATGCAGAATTGACCTCCACTTAATTAACTACCACTGGAGCACCTTAAATGTTCACACGCGAGGGTGCTAAGTGCACAGTGGTCAGAGATAAGTAGGGCATGGTCTCTGTTTCCCGTGCGGTATTTTAAATAGATGCAAATACAGATGTAGACATTTCTGTACTTAGGCATGATTCACAAGTTTACAGTTGAAAGAAAGGAGGGAGGGAGGGAGGACTGATTTTTCACAGAAGGTGGAATCTGCCAAGGATAAATAAATGAAGTGGGATGGGTTCCCTGGGATTTTGGAGAAGACACTGATCATTCTCCATTCAGTGTGAGATCTCATTAATATCCTATGGAACTTATTTCTATCATAAAGTTATTTATAGTATTCTACTACGTATTTTGTTTCTCAGACTTCTTAAATTTTTGAAATGCTTATAAATTTAATCCCAACAAAAAGTGTCTCCCTCCAAAAAAATGAGATAAAACCTGTTGAACTGGTAGAAGCATCATTTAGAAATGAATTTATTCTCTCCCCCCATATCCAGTATTTGCAAATTCTGTTGCACACAGAGCACTTTTTTCCTGGCACATACATGAATTCTCTATCAAAAACACAGTCTGAGGGGGCTGGGGATATAGCTCAGTGGCGTCGCTCCTACCTAGAAAACAATGAGTTACAGAACATAAACTTCGAACAAAATTTTTTTTCAAAAACTGTCAAATCCTTGTAAATAATATATGATCACATATATTTTACTAGAATATAGTCATCTAAATCCTGTATCCCAAACTCTTAAATGGAGATCAATTTTTCCATATCATTACCTTAACTTTATGCTCATTTTTTTAAATAACTAAAACCCATAGGCTAAATATGGCAATTATAACAGGTTGATGCAAATTTTAAGAAACTTAACTTGTAATTTACTTAGCTGTGTTTTAGAAATAAAAACTACCTGAGAATCATGGTCAGAATATACATCTGAAGCACCAGGAACGGACATGCAAAGCTCTCACGCAGAGGTGGCGCCCACATCACACGGGTGGCCTGAGATGAATGAAAGTCTGGGTTCACGTCAGGTCCACGACAGCAAACATCATTCACCTAACACCAGGGTTGGCTTCCTCCGGGAACTTTAACCCCAGGTCTGCTCGGTCCTACTTCTGAAAGCCAGGCAAAGCTTCTCCGTTCCGGAGCTCCTCACATGGGACCACTGAGTAGAGCGACCAACTTCAAGCTCAGAACAAGTGCCAGCTCTGTGGGACCAAGCACAGCAAGCCCCAGCGACACCCAAGAAGGCGGATGAGGATTGTGAGGATTCCTGGGCCAGATCCACAGTCCAGCCCCACAGATGTGACCCAGATAGCTGGGCCTTGACCTCCAGACCTGTCCACAACACTGCTCGAACAGGTGTCACCCGGGGCATTCGGAACACCGAGTTTACATGTAACAAGTCCAGGTGGCACAAGTAGTCAAGATGCCCCAATTGTGTGCGATACATCCTTAAGAGTTAACTGTAAATGTGAAAGGCCACTGGAAGTAATGAGAATTACTAATGTGAGGCACACCATGTAAGTAATGTGATGGGTAGAATGTAAGTATTAAATATTCATGTGTACTTTAAGACAATTTCTTTTTCTTTTTTTGGTACCAGGGATTGAACTCGGGACCTAGCGCTTGCTAGGCAGGTGATGGAACCACTGAGCTAAATCCCCAGCCCCTAAGACAATTTCTAAGGCATACAGGTCAGAGTTTGATAAAAATTTTGCATCAAAATTCTCTAATTTAAAATCTTATCACAGTACTCTGCAACCGTCTTTCAAAAGTTACTATTCTAAGACACTCAAACTGTAAACCTTGGAAGATGAATTACAATTGTATAAAAAGTTAATTCATACCACTCGTAGTCTAACATACTCAGAAACAAAGCTTTTTCTTTATGTCAACGGATTATTTAATGACAAGGTATTTGTTTGCTTTAGGTTGAAATAATGTATCGAAAGCATTTTAAGCATAGTTTTTGTTATTCCCTTACCTAACTGACTTAAGACTTAACCCACTAGCAACGCATAAAGACTTCTACCCTACATAACCCGCGGCATTACACAGTACATATTCCGCTTCCGAGAGGCAGCAGTCGGACTCTCTCTCACTGCCAAATCCTCAGGATCTCACAATGATCCATTCTATTCTCCGTGAGTTTCTATGAGCTCTTTTTGGTGAACTATGTTCCTTTGGGATGAATTAGTAAGGAAATCTCTACTTTGAATTCAGCATTTTGTGTCAAGATGACACAGAAGCAAGGTGCTGGGTGGCAAAGCCTCAGCCTGGTGCCCATGGTCAGGCTCCAAGGCGGCTTCCAAACTGGGAGAAGCGCAAGCGCGCAAAGTCTCATCTGAGCAAGATGAGCACATTCTAGAGATCTGCTGCACAGGGTTTTGTTAATACTCTATTACAGTGTTGTAAATTGTTAAGAGGGCAGATATTACGTTAAGTGCTCTTACCACAATACAAAAAGTGCAACAGAAATAAAGAGAAAACTATCCATGCATGGTGGAACACACCTATAATCTCAGCACTCTGGAAGGCTGAGGCAGGAGGATCAAATGTTTTAGCCCAGCCTAGGGATGTATAGCTCAGTGTGCAGGCCCTGGGTTCAATCCCCAGTATTGAGGCGGGCAGACTTCAGCTTCATCAGGCAGAGAATGAGCAGTCCTGAGTAAGTAACCTAAGCTCTGTAAAACTCTGTGTCAGAATGTGTATAGTAAGGATAGCAACCACCTCCAAAAGAGGCTGCTAGGAATAAATGCAAGAATGGAAAGTGTCTGACTCATGAAGTACAGTACTTCATTCGTTCTACAGAACACATGCATGTGTAAGCACTCACTAAAGACCAGGTGAGATATTTCATATATTTTAACTCCTAATGATTTAAAAATTTAGATCAACATAATTAAAATACCAACTTACAACATAAGGTTCTACCAAATATTGCCAAGTCACAGATAATATGCAACTATGTATTACTTTAATGATTACATTTCTTTGTTCTTATATAGACTCTCTAGTTCTTAAAATTATTTTCTAGAAAACAAACCTCTCCATGGTTGAAAAAGTAGCACAGTACTGTAATTAGACCTCCTAAGTGACTCCCACTGCAAAAAAAAAAAAAACAACACAAAGTAGGAAATCATAATTTATGTAAGATAAATTGAGTTTTTCGAAAAACAATCTCACAATTTGATATCATTTTTCTGTACTTAAAAATTTCAAAAGTGACCATGTAGTTGATGTTTTATCTTGTAAGTACAAACATGAAAATTTTATGTATACTGTAGTCTAAATTTTAAAATTTACTGTATTTAAAATATTTTCTAAATAGATAATTTGTGAACATAAAATAATTTTTAACAAGCCAAGCATGGTGGCGCACATATAATCCCAACATTCTGGACGTCTGTAACAGAAGGACTGTAAGTTTGAACCTAGCCTGGGTTAAATCTCTGGTATAAAAAAATTTTTTTTAAACCAACATTACCACCTTCAGTCTATATCACATTCTTTGGATAATCTAAATGGAGGCAGTTTTGTCTTTTGAAATTGAGTTTAAGTGACTGAGACATAAGCTCTAACAGTTTTGCTAAACAATAACAGCAATAAGTGACTGTACATATCACTTTATTGAGTCTGAGGCAGCCAATAACCATCAGAGAAGTGAGAACTGTTTCCTAGGCACAGCGCTCACACCCACTTCCGGGCAGAGTCCCAACCCACCTTTGCTGTGGTCATGGCATCCCAAACCCCACGCCAATGGAATCTCTCTGAATCTTCTGCTTTGTGCTTTGCTTTGTCTCTAGCTCCACACTTAGAAGACAGCGAGCACCGGGTGGGTGAATGAGGAAACGAAGGAAGAAGTTCATAAAAACAAGCAGAGGAAAGTGACTGGGAAGTGGGTGACCATAAACGGACTCTCGCTAAAGGAAATTCAGGGGAGTATATCAAAAAGAAAGAGGGCCGGGGATTTAGCTCAATGGTTTGGCCGCCTGCTGCGCAAGCTCAAGGGCCTGAGTTTGATCCCCGGTACCAAAACATTAAAAAAATATATTAAAAAGGAAGAGATTGAAAGAAGGAAGCGTGAGAAGCAAGGTCAGGCTGTGCACACAGAACTGTGAACACGTGAACATGTGGATGAAATGAAACATCTGACAACCCCCAAAATACCATTAATAATACTGGCGGGGGGGGGGGGTAACAGGAGTACTGACCGTGGTACTAACATGTAAGACGTGACAGGTGTTTCAGGAGAGCACTCTACAGTTCCGTGTATTGATCAGAAGAAGGGAAAGATGGATTCATTTCAGATTTAACCAAGTTAAATGTGCATTTTATGGTTAGTCACCCAAGGGACAGAAACAGAGTGCCTACATTCCAAGGTAGTGCCCCAATTTGTATTTCTTCTGTTTCTCATATGCTTTAGTTTCCCGTCTCTTCACAGTTTTGGTGACATTTTTATGTTCATTTTAGTTTATGATGCTTACATCCACATATCCTTATTAAAGACTGGAGACTACTAATGTATCTGATATTCCTGAACTGTGTAACCAGTTTAGAGAGAGTGTGCACTCTTGGGTAGCCCTCCTAATGAAAAATACTTGATTTACAAGTCTTAGTCACAGCTGTGTAATGTTTTCCACATTTAAAAAAATTAGTACAAACTATTTTCAAAAACAGAACATTTAATCCTGACAAAATGATCTCAAAGCTATCCTTCCAAAGTCTCCCTATATGGCACACAGCAAAGGACACTATAAAAAAATCTCGTTTATAGAACAATTATAAAGTGAATATCCATGTAGCCATCGTATAAGATAACTGAAATGCAGAAATTATTACACCCTGAGTCCCCACTGAACACTCCTAAGACAACTGTTATACTGGTTCTAAAATCATCAATATAACCATCAATATACATTAATATTTATGAAAAGCTTATCCTTATGCAGAAGGGTAGGCTGCAATATCTGCTCTATCACAGACCAAGTGTCCTTAAATGTACATTTCTGTGTTTGGCCTCTACCCCATTCCTGTTATCTACCTGTCTAGCATGCTGTCTTCTTTACATTAGGGTCATGATACAGCAATAATTGATAAAGCAAGTTTCATCTTTTTTAAAAATGCTCTAACTAAATTTGGCCTTTGCATTTCTGAATAACTTTAAAATCAGCTAATAGGGGTCAAGAAAATTATGACAGTATGTTGATTGGTAGAGCATTGAATGTATAAATCAATTTGGGATAAATGTCATCTTCCAACACATTAACATGGTATATATCTCCATTTATTTCTATTTTCTTAAATGCATCTCTACCAATTTTTTAACAGTTTTTCCATAAAAGTTATACATATTTTTCTTAGATTTATTCTTAGAAACTTCATGATTTTAATGCTGACCTAAGTAGCATCTTTTTAAAATTTCATTTTTTGTTTGATGTTAGAATATAGAATTTATAATTTTGTGTATTAATTTTTGTGTTTGGGTAACATCATAAATTTTCTAAATGCTTCAAATACTTTTTTCTTAATTTTTTACACATATATAATATGAACTACTTTTCAAAAAAATTTACTTGTCAAGTTTTCCAAACCTTATACTCTTTTAGCCCACTGAGCTGGACAGGGTCCCTGATACAATATTAAATATGTCACTAATTTTCACTGATTCTATGCAAGTCCTTCTATGCCAAAAACTTAAAACAAAGAGTGCATATAAATATTACTCTGTATTGACATAAGCCCTATGAAAATTTAGTAATATTTGTTGGAAGATTAAATCTAGATTACTAACTTTAAATGTTTTTTAAATTTCATGAATAACACTGTAAAGAAAGTTGATGACTTACTTAGGAATATATCTCACTGAAAGAAACAAAAAAATCTGACAAAAGTGGCTTAAACAGTAGGAGTGTGGATTATATCATTGAACAAAAAAGAGAAGTGGTAAATATCTATTGGTACTGGTTCAGCAACACAAGTATGTTAAGCCAGATATGTCTGCTATTTTTATGGACTTTCCCTCATGGCCACAAGATGACTTCTGTGGCTCCAGGCATGGTTTCCACATAAAAGCATGAAGGAATAGAGAAGGGACAGCTGAATATATCCTTTTGCAAGGTCCTTTATTTATCACGGGCAAAACCTAGATCCTCGGGATCTGTCAAGGAGCAATAGAGCCTGGGAGGAAAGCACATGACTATAACAATTAACTTCAACTTATCATCTGAGACTGGTCACCCTGTTCCTCCAAACAAAGTTGTGATACTGTTATCAAAAAAGATGTGCTAACAAATTTAAGTGTCTGCTACAAATGATTTACAGTTCTTATAGTTTTCTTAATCCCACATTTACAGAGAATAAAATGAGGATAAATTAATTAATTCTAACCAGAGATCCCTCTAATGTTGCAATAAATGACAGAGGAAGAGAAGTACTTTTATTAAAACCTTGGCTGAAAAATCATAACTACAAAAACATTGCCACAGGGATAAAGGGGAGGCCTTATTTAAGGTATTCCCTTCAGTGACAGTCCCAGTTTTTTGGTTGTATGACATTGGGTAAGCACCTGAAAATTCAAATAAATCTACAAATATTCCTACTATTAACCAATTAGTCTCACTAATTCTCCTTATCATGTAATAACAATTATCATCTGATCCTTATAAGATCAGTCAGATCTTTTAATTCAGTGTCTTACCTCAAGTATGTAGCGTAGATGAAGAACAATCCCATCATGAGTCCATTTAAGATAAAAATCACACCCACATAAAAGCAAGCAGGATCTCCCAATCCTTTGAAAAGACACAGATTATTCAGCATGTATTGAACACATGGCTATAAAGCAAGGGAGCATAATTATCTCAGTGCTTTTTACTCAAGGCCTCATGAATTTGCTGAAAGCATTTGCTCTCAGATTGATGCTGTCTTTAATAGATTCAATAATCTTCACCCATATGTGGAGGGGCAGGTGGGTCTGTTGCTGTGGATCAAACCCAGGGCCTTGTGCATTCTAGGCAAGGGCTCTGTCAAAGAGCTACATCTCCAGTCCCTATAATGCATTATTTAATTACATTTATAAGTTCCCCTACTGAAGTATTTTTGAATGGAGAGAATTGTTGGGGTTTCTCATTATGAAAACGCCCTTGCTCTTCCTCAATGGCTGGAATTATCTGTAGAGCCATTTGATGACTCCCAAGAGAAAGCCATTGCATTATTTTTATCTTTTCTAGGCTGTGGAATGAGTAAGATATAGTCTCTGACCTCAAGGAGCAGCTTTAGTCTGAAAGAGATGATCCATTATTACTGAGAGCTAGAATTTTAATATATCCCACAAATAAGATTGTGTATAGCACTTATTTGTTTTATAATCATCATTTCACATAATTCTCAGACAAAATTGCGAGGATTATCATAAAAGCATTTCTATGGTTGAGAAGACAAATTCAGAACTTAAATAACCTGTCAGAAGTTTCTCATATCTAACTAGCTGCAACCAAGACCTGAAGGCTGGCCCAGTGACCCTCCTACCTCCCTGGACACTCCTCCCAGTCTGTCCTATAACCTCACTTGTTTATGCACCCTCCCTTCAACCCTGGCTCTCCCTAGCCTCTGTCACCTGCTCTCTTCTCAGTCTGCATATTAGCCTTCAGAAAATTCCTCCTTTTCTGTAGTTCTCAGTATCATCTACGTGGAGATGAATCCAAGTCTACACTTAGTCGCAAACATTTTTCCTATTCCTAAAGTTATCTATCCAGGGAGCCATGTGACATCTCTCTCTCTAGGATTTCAAGCTAATGCATCCACAGTAAATCACAGCAGTCCACACCTGTATTTGTTTCCTACTGTTCAAGAGACTCAATTATTCAAGCTTGAAACCAAATAGAGTTACAGCACTTCACTCTCTTCCCTCCCTTCCCATCAGTTACCAAGTCTTGTTAATTCGACTTCCAAGTTCCCTCCCAAGACCTGGCATTTTACAGCTCTCTCTCTCTGTACAAATCAAGTGCCAAGGCCACACTAGTCTCTGGCTTTGTGGGGGCCAATGGTATCCTTTCCAAACAACCACCAAAATCAACAGATTCTTACCTTGAGCATTATTTTATCAGTGAATAAAGTGCAAAATTCTTCCCCCCACATGGCCTACCTTTCTTGTACTCCCAGGGTGATATCACACCTGTTACACCAATTCCCTTCCCTCTCTCTCTGTTCCAGGAAATCCAGTCTTCTCTCTGGTCTCCTTTGCCACTTTTGTACTTTATTCATGAGGCCAGAGACTAAATATACTGGTCCCTACCCATGAAATGCTATTCTTCTTGATAATTCTATTGCCGTATGTATATTGTCCATCACAGTTATAACTGCTAAGAGCCCTCTCATAGTGCAGACTCCATGAGAATAAGGATCATCTTTACTGGGCCACTGCTGCAACCCAAGTGCAAAATTCTAACCTGTCACTTATTGGGAATTTAGGAAGTACCATATTTGTCCCTATAAAAACTGATATTTTCATCCTTCAGAAAAGACTATACTTTCTAGCTGACCAGGTCTAAGCAAGTCTCAATTCACAAGGTATTTTCTCTATTCTTTTATATAGTAAACAAACAAAAGTCTAATTGTCCCTTAAATATCCTCTATCAATTTTTTTTATAATTTATAAAGTTACCTAAGGGAATTAGTAAAAATTTTAGGGAAATATAGATTAGTTTATACTCCCAGAATTGAATGTTATTATAAACCAGTCTATAAAACCATATTTATAAAATATAGTAAATAGTCATGTTGTGGAGAGTGGAAGAAATAAACAACTGTGTAAATGCTATGCAGGTAGACGTATGTGACTCTGAACAAGAGTCCCAAGGGAGAGCACTGTCCTTAGGTTGTCAAAGTGCCAAACTGCACACATCTTAAACAGCAGTGACCACTGCATGTCCTGGAGAACTGTTACAGAATTCCAAAAGCAGTTATTTGACAAAGACACCAATGTAGAAGATACATAGGAAGAGTTTGGCTAAAATTATCCACTGGACTGTGAGTATGTATTAAAGCTATCTTGTCACTATAACCTGCTACTCATTTTTCAATATGCTTGTTCTACTTCATTAATACACCATTACAAGTGTATACTTGACTGAGCCCCCAAATTTATTATATATTGAAGTCACTCAAAGCACTTTTATTTGTGTTACCTCATTCTGATATGGAGACTTTTACTCAAGTTTGCGATCTACTGGGCTAAATCAATGCACAAATTAAATCCCAAACTTACATTCAAATTAGCAACTATAAAGCCTTATCAGAAAACTGAAGTGTAAAATTATCATTGAGATGCATTGTTTCTAGTGTGGTTTAAAGGAAAAACTGAGTCACAGCTGTTTGTGGTGATTCTTGTGTTTACAAAGCCCTAAGGACAGGACAGCAGGCTGGAGGAAGACAGACCTTCACAGCTCTCAACTTCACTAGGAAGTCCCACGCTGGTCACATTCCAGCAGGTCTTAGTTTCTACCCCAAATAAATTCGTTATTCCTGTGACTGTTCGATACCAGTAAGCTAGGATTACCTACAAAAGATAAAACAAAGAGATAATGGAAGAAAGTATATTCTCTTCATAACGATTTTTCCAAAATACCATTTTATGATGGTTACCTTTGATATTATAAAGTTTGATGAATTTATTTAAATCATCTCACTTAGGAAATAGTCATTTAAAAAGTATACGTATACAGGTTATATAATATTTATATATAATAATTAATTACAGTAATATAAATAACTAAATTTAAGCTACACACAGTGTGCACATCAGTAATCCCGGCACTCTGGAAGGCTGATGCTGGAAGAATGTGACTTCGAACCCAGCCCGGGCAACACAATGGCTTAGCAAGA